GGAGAGAGGTCATTCTGGACATCACTTATGCCTGTTGTTATACTGTGATGACCTAATCAATTAATCATAACTCTTCAAAAATCTTATTGGTTTTTTTAATATAAGACTGAAAGAAAAATATTTTCAATATAAAGAATTGCCTTTAAACTGCATTATATTTCCTGATAATAAAAATTTAGAAAAGTTGGTCCTTGTTGCTTTAATCAGAGAATTGAAGACATTACTTGATATTCCTTATGGGTGTGGTTCTAAAATATGAATATCTAGATTTATATTTAATTCCCCTCACCCAATGTTCATATTATTCATATGGCAACAGATAATTAAAGCAAGTCAAAAAGCTCTACTAGTCAAGAGTAATTCACGGTTATAATAAATTTACTTAGATATAATGATACTGAGATAATACAGTTTTGTGCCCTGTTGAACTAAACAGGCAAGAGTATTTTTTTTAAAAAATGAGACATGTTCATCCATAAACCAGAATTACTCACATTAAGCTCTATTTAAGAAGAATCAAAACAAGTTAAATTCTTTACTACTGCCTAAGTTCCAGTATTTTTAATACACTTAATGATAAGAAATAAATTTTTCTCCCTCTACCTGGCAGACTGTCTACCTGGAAATATGAAATATAGCTCTATTAAGGCTCCAGTTTGCCTAGGCTTGCAAAGCTTACTCTATGTCCGGGCTTTTCTTCCAACCCTGCCTGGATAAGCCAGCTTATCAGGCATAGCAGGAAAAATGTGAGGTTTTAACTTAGTTGTAATGTGTGCAATAATTTAACAACCAGTTCTTAGAAACTAAATGGAACTGGCTATGTAACACCCCTGGGAAGATTACTGTGACAAATGTCTGAAACTCATTTAAAATTAGTTTTAATAAAGAAACCTCACTTGGGTTCATGGTTTGGTTTGCTGCACTAAATGAATTCACCTTGATTCTTGTATCAAAGGAGACGATTAGGTCCTTAATCAAAAGCATGAAGAAGAGGATGCTGCCAGAACCAGGACCAATATTTCTGCAAAAGATTCTGAGCCTGAAGGAGCAGCAACAAGTTCAAAAGGAAAATATAGTCACCAGGACCAGTTTTGAGAACTGTTACTTCTCTTATAGTCTCCAAATCACTAAAAGCCATTTTCAATTTTTGGTTATCATAGGCTACCTCATTCCAGACAACACTGGAATTAAAGCAAAATTGACATAACAAAAAGATATACAATAAAAACATTAACTGTGCAAGAAGCTTGTGGCCAGGAGAAAAATGTTAAAGATCCTCCCCAATTTCTTAGAGATTACAGGATCAAACTTATTTCAGGTAACTAAGTATGACTGTGAATTAGGCACCTTAAGAAGGTCAGACCAGTTAGAGTGCAAATATAAATGAATCTTAGTGACGTTATCCACTTGAAGCCTAAAATATTCTTAAATATTGTCTTTTAATATGTAAGACAAGAAGAGCAACTTTGCAGCAATCAAGGTTGCATCCCAAGGACTATGATGATCAAAACAATTGCTGCACATGTTTCAGGGCTCGGTCACTTGTGTTTCGGGTGGAATTGAAAGATTTGATTCATTTTGCTATTTGAGAACAAACACAATTTGGGAAGCTTTTATTTTGAAAAGCAATAGGAGATGCCTTCTTATTTAGCAGTTTAATCTCTGTTTCTCTGAGGAACACAGCAAATATACAGCATCACACATAGCAGATTCTCAATCTTATTGGATGACTCTGTATTATCAATTTATTTTGAAAGTGATCGTACTCAATAATGTATGCAATTGATGGTCTTCAGGAGGGCAATCCTGAAAAACAGGAAGAAGTTCTTTAGGACAATATATTATCCTATTTCTATTTTCTGACTTAGCTGTCTGGTTAAATTTCAGCCATAGGCCAGGAGATAGTCTGGACTGGTATCGCTGACTAAAACAGTGCCAGGCGCTTAGCATCAACAGGCAATCAACAGAGAGCAAGATGTGATTGTGGTAGGGAGAGTAGAAGTAGATGTCAAAGTGCCACCTTGTGTTAAATAGAGGAAAATGTTTGACAGTAGTTTTTTCTGCCCTTTTAAAAAAAATATCCAAGTTTTAGTTTGGCTACCAAAGTCTAGTTTGGTTGATCTCAAAGCTAAAGAAGGTCAGATTTTGTTAGTACTTGCATACATATTAATCCGAGACATTTAAAAAAAATTGTCCTACAAGAAAGTAGTGGGAACCCACTTCCATATTTTTTGTGAAGAAGAATGCATGGACATCAAAGAATCATAGAATCATAGGGCTGAAAGGAGACCTTGGTGGTCTTGTAAAACTTGAAAACCTATAGCAACAATTACCTAGAACTCCAAAAGGCAAGGTGATTGATGAATCATTCTCACTGTCAAGGAAATTCCTCATTAGTTCCACAATTTCTGCTTATTTCTACATTTTTAAAAAATCTATTTAGTCACCAAGAGTTATTCCAATAATTTTTATTAAATAGTTTTAATAATCTAATAATAAATAATGTTAACAATAGTAAAATGCAATACAAACTAAAAACTAAAAAAAAGTAGAATTGAAAGTGCAAAAAGAAAGTAAGAAAAAAGAAAGAAAGAAAAGAATAATTGAGTGACTTTCAATCTTCTTTACGGCAAGTATAAACAAACTTGGTATTTTCCATCCCCTTAAAGTTAAATGATATAGATCACTTCTTCCTATCATGTTAGATTTGTTTATCTTTCAAAGGCTAACTTTTGTCCTTATTTTGCTCATTTAACTTTTACTGTGCAAATGGTACCACATTTAATGCACAGTCATTCAGGTGACAATGTGGAAATTGAATTACATACGGTTTGATTTTAGATATTTCTTCTTAGAATATGCATTTTTGTAAGAGTTTTTCTGGACATTGCTCTTGAATTTTTCTTAGTAAAGCAAAGATATAAACTAAGCAATTTTTTTTTAACCTTATGAAGCTCTTACGAATTTGCCACTTTTCAAATTTTCCCTTTATTTGTTCTCAAGAAAATTTGGTCACTGTTAGTATAATCAATCAGATATGATTTCTGGAATATTCTAAGATGGTTTTAAATCAGCAAATTCAGTAGGAAGTGCTTACCTCCAAACAATGCAAAAATCATACTGCATATCTGCAACACTATTCCAACTGACTGCACATTGGACCCAAGCACATTAGACCTGAAAAGTTGTCAAGGAAAAAAAAGGGGGTATAAAACTGTAATATGATGCTGGTGATGTTCTGGAAGAAAAGTGCCCACAGTGCTTGTTTGGACCCCAAGAAGATGTGAGAACTTTGCCAGGTGGTTGGTTTCAGTTTCTTCTCTGAACAAACTCCAGCAAATTCCAGAAGTCTTGAAGTTTCCCATGAAAACTGAGATGTTGTGGCATCTGCTCATTTCCAAATCTAATTTCTTCTCACTGTCCCTTGCCTTTTGTTATTTCTCATTCCTCTGATCAATTTGCAATCTTCAATCTATCACAAAAGAATGCCTTACTTTATTTACAGTTTCTGAAGTTCAGGATAATAAACATTACCTTATACTAACTTTCCTAGAGAAGAAGAAACTTTGAGCATTTACGTACCAGCTCTTACCTCTGCTTATGACCTCAAAGTACGCTGTGTGTGCGTGTACTACACCATTAGCTGAGCCACCGGAACATCTGATAAGCACTGAGTGTAGGTGCGCAGTGTTTCAAAAAGCACTTTTTTCCTGCTTTTTCAACCTCAACTGTGCTGCACAAAGCAGCTGAGGTTTAAAAAGCAGGAAATAAAGGTCAGGTAAGAGCCCAGGCAGGCAGGTGGGCCGAACAGCAGCAGACACAGAACTGGTTCTGTGGTCTGCTGCTCTTCAGAGCTACCGGTTCTATAGAGCCGGGCAGAACCAGTAGCATCCTACCCGTGAGCATAAGCAACAGAATTATGAGCCAATTGGTGCTCCCATAGCCAATCAGCAAGAAAGCGCAAAACTATGATTCTATCTCTTCCATAGTTTTGCCTGTTTTTGAAATTATGCCCCTGGACCTTCACATGACCACATAAAAGAACAAGACAATAAATTGCTAGTGTCTCCCTCATCCTTGTTTTTGCTACTAAATCTTAAGGCTAGCCTTTAAGAACTGTTACAAGAGGAATCAACCTGGCCACAATTCATCCACTTCTATTTAAAAATCATGATGTATGAGTTGTGAAGCCATAGGGCAGTATATTGTCACTTTCATCATGCTTTTCACAATTATGTCAGGCATGGGCTTTTTGCTTGATTGTTGTTGCACTTGTTTACTACAAAGACAAACATGGGGGAACACAGCCAGGATTGTTTCAAGTTTTGACTGTTTACAGTTCCTTGAGAGTCATCCTGGATACATAGAGGCGAGGACAAAGTGATTGGGGTGGGAGTTGTTTTCTCCTTTTCTTTAGAGGAATCCAGATAGCTCCAAAGCCCTTATCTTGATATGATCAAATGATTAATCAATATATTAATTGCTGCTGCTGCTGTTGAAAAGAGCAAATTGTTGCTTAGGAAGAAATTGTCTTGAAAAGTCCTTGAAGATAGGTTCTAAACTGAAGGTGTGTGTCTTTTCGTGTCTGTCTGTTTGTTTGGGAAGGGGTGACTGAAGTTAAAGATTCAGTGGGTGGCAGGATTCAGAACGTCTATGCAGTGTAGCTTGAAGATGCCACATGTAACATCTCATACATGTTATAAAGTACCATGTGCAGAGAGAGTGTTGCGTAAGAATGATCACTCCATACTAATGCTTTCAAATCTGGGTGACCTCTCAAATAAGGTTCCTGACAGGATAAATGGACTTCTTCCAATAACAAAATCATTAATAGCAATAAAATTCCACGCTGGAATGACTTTTTAAAGGTATGTTCTCTTAGCAATATATGAAGAATGCCAATATTGAAGGAAGTCTGTCCCTTTCTATTTAAGATTGTAAAATTATTCAGTAAAAAGCAAATGATAAAATTAGGCAAAGAAAATAATTATAGCTTTTTGAGTTGCTTTATTTACAGACATAAATTTGTTAACTTGAGTGACAGGTAATCTGTCCATTTCCATCGTGCAGTGCTGGGGTTATGCAGTTATAGAGTGAGGCCTTTAGAAAGCAGCTTGTTCTGGAAAATCTAGACAAGTTGGTGCATTTATCTGGACCACACAGATGGGGAGAGTGGATCAAATGTACTGAATAGTTGTCTTCAGAGTCTAGACAGGAAACACATCACTTCCATCGGCCACCAACCACAGGCTTTCCACGGGCAGCTTTGGAGCTATTGTGAAAGGAAAAAACAAATGAGGAATTTCTGGGATTTTTTATTTGTTTATTTATATTTGCAAATATCTCAACAAAACAAAGGTGAGTAGGGAGAAATGGTCTGGATCTACTACTGTTTTGAAAAAGGGAGCACGCAGAGAGGCTCTTTTCACAAGGTGGGTGTTGGGTGTTGGGTTTTGGGGTTTGTTTGTTTTTTGAGCTCTCAGCAGAATCTTTTCAGAGACCTGGCTCAGCCCAGGCTATCCAATCTGGCTCTCGGAGGGCAGACAAATGCCCCTGAAGGAAGAGCAAGACAAGTGCACAATAAAAACACATCATGTTTAATGCATAATAAGATGTGTGTGCTGAGGAAGTGGAACCCTAAGGGGAATATCAGCTTGTGCCTTAAAAGCCATAACTATACCCAAGTCTTCAAGATGATTCTCACCCTCTAATGAGCCTTGGGAACTATAATTTTATGAGGGAAGTGCAGAATAATTAATTTTCAGCATTTTCACCAATTCAATTCTACACTATACTTATGTTGGTTTTTACAGGAAGATGTTAAATGCTTCAGCATGGATTAATCTGGGTTTTTTTTGCTAAAAACTGTGAGGAATGTACGCTAAAAAGTAATTTCTGTTAAAATGAGTACGAGATTAAAGGAGGTTTGTGCCAAGAGGCAATATATATAATGTGGCCTTGTAATGAATGTTTATACTTATTTGCAAATCAATGTTGCTCTGTAAATTTTTGCTTTCAAAGTATTTTTTCCACTTGTTTCTGATTAAGCCAGAAAATAGGTCATTCCTTCCAAATAAAGCAAAATTCAATAGTTTGCTGAAAGCCCAAATAGGGCTAAGATTATCAATATTGAACTCTTTTCAGGTTAAAGGCAAAAGGAAACTAAAGGGAGGTAAGATAAAATGGTATCTTATGAAGGGATCAGCAGTGTTCTAACTATTCATTTATTTTAATTCTGGTTTTCATAAGATACGTTACTTTACAATTCTCTATTTATTCGTACATTGATTAAAATGTATTAACATAAAAAACATATAAATTCATAAATAACAGGTTGTCATGGAGATTATCTATATGGTCACTACCAACCTTACAGAATAATTTCATTTTCTATAAAAGATAGCAGAGGAAACATTGTATCTTTTATTAACTCTCCTCTTTAAAGTATTTATTAAATCCTCTCAAATTAAATTGGAAAGAAGTGGGATATTAGCAAAATTAGAGAATAACTGGAATTAATCTCCCATTATTCTATTTTATTAAGATGAATAAGTAAAAGTATAAAAGAAGTAGTGATATAAAATATTTTTCTCCCTATTTCTGGCTGGATTGATGCAGCAGCAAACAGTTGCTAACTTCCTACACAGCTATAGGAAGTCTTACTAAGTGTTGTTGAGGAGAAAAAAACAAGGATGTTTACTGCCTCAAGTTACTTATAAAGTAGTAAAAATGAGATTAAAAAATCTAATAAACTTTTACCACAAGTCAACCACTTTTATTACCATTACCACTATGACCATATTGAAAAAAGATTGCTGACATTATTAATTGGAAAGTAGCAAACAGGTTTTCTCTAACCAACTAAAGAATATATTTAATTGACTTGTAGGAATGGAATTATTGTCTTCCCTCTAGTTCCTGAAATAAAGAGACCACATTGCTTCTTCCTGTAACCAAGATTGCTGGTCACTATAATAAGAAGCCATGGTGTTTTCCTTTCTCACCTAGTGATCCAGTTAGATTTGGTTTCCCACCTGATGCATCTTATAAGTTGAAAATTATTTGTTTTCCACACTGGTAAATATGATTTCTACAAGTACGTTTTGCCGAGAAAGGAAGCTTCATAAATTTTTGTTTATTTTTCAATAAATAGGGTATACATCAGTGTTAAACTTGGCTGGCTGGGGAATTCTGTAAATTAAGGTCCACATATCTTAAGAGTTGCCAAATTTGAGGAACACTGGTATAAATTGACATATATAAGTAACTGCTTGCGTATGTGTATACTCCTCAGTGAGCTGATGGGTCCAGCTATACCTTAGTCCTTGCTACTGTGGGTAGTGGGAATTGGTCCTGAGTATCTAGAGAATGCCAGGTTGAGAAAGAATACTAAATGGGATTTTGTATTGTTCTGTAAACAAAATTGCATGGTGTTTTGGACATAGACTATGCATGAGCAATTTTAAACATTTTAAAGAGCAAGAATACAATGTTATTTAAGCAAGCTAGAGATATCATCCAGTTTTAGACTGGCTGTGACAAACCAAATAGGAAATTTATAAATATTTGGTTTGATTCTTTACCCTCTCTGTCTAGCCAATACATTTGTCTTGTTTCTCTGAAAGGGCAACAGCTGTTCCTAAATTTGAGGGCAGACTAAGAATGATATTTATTAATCTGAAAAGATTCACAGAGATTTCACAGTTTACCATTAGGCTCTAATATTTATTTTTACCTGTCCGTATAACCTCATTTTATATTGGCCTGACAAAATTATCCTTTCCTTCACTTTCTATAGTAGGCCAGTCTCCTTCTTATCAGCCTGCAGAGCACCCTCAGATCATGCTACCATGAAGGTAAAGAGGAAATATCAGTGTTCAATGGTTAAAAAACACCTGACTGTTCCCTGAATATCCAGGAATAAAACTGAAATCAGAGCATAAGAAGCATTGCATAAAACCCAAGTTGGCCATCAGTAGACATAGAGGAAGAAATCAGGATTTGCTGTGGAACCAAAGATAACATAGGGTGAAGCTTAAAGCCATTCCTTTAAGTATTTGCACAATACAAACTAGCACAGCAGATCAATACACCCCAAAGGGCACAACATGCTACTTACCCTTTCCTGAAATAAATGAGGAGACAAAAAAAAGAAATATAGTTTAGTATTGCTCAGTAATTAGTCTAACCAGTAAGTTTTATTTGAAGGATCTAAAAAGGCCACCAGAAACCAAGACATTACGAATCAAGATGCCATTTGTTTCTGGGTTGAAGTAGGAACCTGGAACAATTCCAGTCCACAAACAGCTACATTTGTTGCTCACATCAATAAGAGAGGCAAGCTCCATAAAAGATACAAAATTATCGAGTTTTCACCTGGTGTAGACTGACTCCTATAATCAATACATGTAACACCAAGGAGTTTTTAGCCTCTTTGTGCCTATCTCCCATCTCTGAACTGATAGTCATAGCCAAAGAAAATGGAAAGGTGCCAATGTTAACTGATAGTTCATAATTGAATAGAATGATTCTGACACATCAGGTAAGACACAGAAAGTTCTGGGTCTTAGAAAATGAATTATATGATCCATAGGTGAGGAATAGTTTCCACTTCAAAGGTGAAGTTTGACACCACATACTGTGGTAAAACTGAACTGAAACAAGCCATGCCGTAAAAAAGTATCAGAAATGCATCTTAATTAATGCACTTTTCTCGCACTTAGTAGGGAGGTCACTTAAAGAATGAAGACAATGAGGTTCTATGAGAAAGTAATGATGTTCAGGGAGGAAAAGGAAAATAGCTATAGGAGGTGCAAAGGAACTTAGTGAAAACCGCAGCTGGAGAAGGAAAACTAGGAATGAACATGAAGAAATAGAGAAAAATGTGGGAGCAGGCATAAGATCTACAAATTGGATTGGGATGGGAAAGAAAAAAGCAACCAACCTTTCTCTGCTCAGATATATTTGACTATAATGCCTGTGATGACTTAGAATTTTGAGAGTTATAATCCAACTTTACTGGAGAATATCAGATTGTTTGGGGGTGGATCTAGTCAGATAATTGGGAAAGTTCCACTAATGGAAAAGGTAGGATATCGTTGTTGACCCACCAAAAATTGTCTCACACTTCATTCCAGGGGAGCCTTCTTGATCTCACTCTGTTTCATAAAAAAAAATAATGTCTCCCCTATACCCAATGTGTAGAATAAATAGTAATGGCAAAGCAAAATTTATAAAAATGGTAGACAGAAGAGAAAAGGAGAAAGCTCAGTTGAAGTAAGTGACAAAGAAATTAAATAAGAAAAACAACTTTTTAAAAAGTAGCAGTGAATGATATAAGCTGCCAAAGTAGAAGTACTTCATTCAAAACACCTGAACACCAAGTTATAGAAGGTGTTGTCTTCATTTATTAGCCTTGGGTTGGAACAACAGGAAAGGCAAGAAATGAAGGGCAAAGGATTAGTAGAAATGAATGAAGCAGAACAGGAAAAGAAATAAAAAGAAGACAAAAAGGAGAGCACACATTAAAGCTAGAAAGATTTGTGAAGTGCAAGGGGAAAAAGGGGGATAAATGTGGAAGATCTAGTGGGAGTGCTTGATGCTATGAAACATGGTGGACCTTTTACTACATGTTATGAGTACTTACACCTTTTGATGATCACTAATGCGATTCCGTAGAACATTAATCTGGAAGAGAAATAAATAGGTGATGATGTTTTAGGAAGAAAACATGAGAGCTACTGTGTCAGCACAGTATGAAGCCAAGAAAAGAACACAGACCAAAGACAATTGTCCCCAATAGTCAGGAAGGCTGCAGGCAGTAAAAAGATGTAGAAGTGAGAACCAGGAACATATTTGGTTGGTTTTATGTTTATTTACCTCCATCCTTGTTTCCTTTTTTTTTTGTTATATCAGTGCAACTTTCTCTTTTACAACATGTCTTCTTTCAATGAAGAGGAGATTTAAATTCAAATGTCTGCTCTACCACATCTGTAAAGGCTTCATTTTTCAGATTGCTTCTCTCACATGTTCCCATTGAGATCTTTTCTAGCAACAGAATGGTATGTGTAAGTATCCTTTCAGATACTTAAAAGCAAAGCTCTGTTATTGGTGGCAGGATCTGCATTTCTTGAAACTGTACTTCCCTTAGCACAGCTCCACAATATCCCTCATTTTGAACATTATGCATTTTTTCTGTACAAACATGTCCAGATCATGGAGTTCCACTAAGCATTCATAAATATGGGAGGAATACTAATAATGCCATAAAACTAAATTGCATTACTATGTGGGTAATTGAAATGTCAGCCAGTCATAATTTATGTCAATTAATTTTCAGAATTCCTAAAAGGAGAAATTGCAAAGCAACCAAAGATACATATACAACATGATCATGAACAAACAATTTAATGTTAGTTAACCTACAACATTTCTAATAATTTGTGATACATAATGAAGTGATCCAAAGGATCTTGGAACGTTCATTGCCAAAAACAAAAGGATCGCAGTCCTTCTATTTTGGAGAAGGATCAAAGGTTGGAGTACAAGAAAGGGAAAACTGGAAAAACAATATTTGTTCACTTAAGTTAGTTAACTTAGTTGCTGTTGCTACTGCTTCTGGTACAGGGTTCGAATTAGAAAAGAAAGCTTCCAAAAGATTTTTCATGTCCATAGCCCTGTTGATGGCTGAAAAGACAAAAGGCTGCTTGACCTCACAAGACTTAAACTTGATTATAAGAATCATTGCAAACCAAGCAGGCAAGCATGCCAAAAAACAACAAGTTATCTGAAAAGTCATTGATAGCATCCAGGCTTCACAGGGACATTGGAGGACACTATTGAGAGCAGGGAGTTGTATACATAGCTCCACACCATATATGACGTTTCCAGGAAACAGGCTATACTTACTACTTGCTTAATTCATCACAGCGTGCAGTAAGTATGGAAATCTGGTTAGGGTTAGAGAAAGGAGAATATTACAGCCTTTCATGGATAAATCCACTTTTTTTTTTAACTTTCATCATCTGAACTTCTGGAGAATTCAGCCATTTCTAATGATTGATTAGTTCCTATTTTGGTGTCTCTCCTGAATTATTATTGCAGTTTGCTACCTAGTTTCCTAACTCTACTTTCTGTGTTCTGGGTTAAGTCCAGAATAGCATGGTCTCTATAGATTTGGATATCTCCCAATTCACCCCCTTTTTGCCAATTGTTAAGGTGGCTGATTATATACATGTGTTACTTGTTTAAACTGCTGGTGCTGACTTTCCATGTACATAAGAATGCCACTCAATTGTAATTCATATTCCCACATACTTGGCTCACTTATGCAATCAGAATGACACAATTTTCTCTTATCTTAGAATAGGCACCCCCCCATTTCAAAGCTTTCTTCCATCTAGCTCCTACTCTTTAGAATGTACTCCATCTTAAGCCATGTGGTTTTTAGAGGCCTTCAAATATTTAATATATTCAAATATTTTTAAGGCTTTTATGAAGCTAGAACTTTTCAGGACGGCATTTGTCAGTGATTTAAATTATGACACTACTGGGATTAGATATTGATTATATTAACACTGGCTTATGCCATGCTGTGTTTTTATTGCTTTTTTGTTTAGGTCACAAATAGTATAAGGGAATATCAAATGAAAATACTATTAATAAAAAAGTATGAAACTTGTATGCACCCAATTCTCAATGGCTTAAACAAGAAAATTACAATTAAACATTTAAAAAAACGGCAAGCAATTTTTATTGGAAGTTAAGTGAAGCGTTTCACTCTCCCTCACCAAACGCTGAATAAAGAACTCATTACTTGTATAAACATTAAAACATTTCAAAGGAAATATTAAAAGTATTGTGTAATGGGTTTCACTAGGAAAGAAGCAGACCAGCACAGCTACTACAACATTCATTGACTCAAAACTGGAACTAAGGAACAGCAAGCAAATGCCTGTTATTTATAATCTAGGCCTATAGGGCCTTAACCAATCATAATACTTGAAAAAGCCCGCCCAAATATGAATGTTCTAAGTTTCCCTCCAAAATAGTTGGAGTTAACAGTTAGTTAACAGTCACCTAAAGGTTAGTTTTACTTTGGCGGTGCTTAACACAACTATATATACATGTATATTCAATACATAACAAAAAGAAACACAAAGAGTTTCTCAGGATCACCTGAGAAACAAATATTAAATATTCAGTTATGATACTTGAATAGCATCAATAAAGATAGCTGATCATAAATATTAACAGCAAAATCATTTTTTGATTATACATTCTTATGTAGACAAATGGATCTGTGCATGCAGAAATAGAAGTGCCATGAGGTTTGTAGGAAACCTCAGGTTTGCAAAATGGGCCTTCAGACTTGCAAAATTCTGTTAATAGAGCTTTACAATGAATTTGTTTCCTGTCTGGTCTGCCTGGGAAAGCTGACATCCATTTCGCAAGTCTGAAGGTTGAAATATCATACTGCCACTTTTACAGTCTGAGAAGCTAGGGAGAGTTTCCTCTCTGCCTCTTTCCCTGCCCATTATGCAGTGCGGGCTAGACTCTCTCTTATCTGACCATTATCTAGGCCAGAGGTCCCTAACCAGTGGTCTATGGACCACTGGTGGTCCGTGAAAAAGTTTTGGTCATCCGTCATGCATCCGGATGGAGCAGCTGCTCCAGGATTAGCAATGAGTAGAGCTCTGGATTATGGGATCAACCATAATCGTGGCGGGGCTGGAAATCTGCGGCATAGAGGGAGGCATGTGCAACTTGCAACTTTGCAGGAGTTGCAAGATGCAAGGAGTAGCGTAGCCCTTACCAGCCGGAATGAGGTAATGGTGCTGTTGTGGCAAGGGGAGGTGGGGGTGGCAGCACAGGTGGTGCGAAGCAACAGCTGTCAGCAAGCCGTGGCTCTTTCTTCCCCCTGCTGTGGCTTCCTGTTGACTGAATCCACCACTGGCTGGCTCTGGCCCTTACCCACCCCTCCCACTCACTCCTCTCCTGGCCTGAGAAGGGAAGGGCAGGCGGTGGAGATTTGCTCCATATTCCAGAGTGGGATCGAAGCTTCATCTCTTGCTGGGTCTCCCAGGCATTTCTTCCAGCCTTTTGGGGTGCTGTGCGACTGGGAGACACGCGACTTCCTCTCTGCCCCAAAACACTGGCTGGCCCAGCTGAGAGAGATGAGAGAGAGAGGGGTGAAAGAGAGAGAGATGAGAGAGAGAGAGAGAAATGAGAGAGAGAGGTGTGTGTGTGAGAGAGAGAGAGAGAGAGGAGAGAGAGAGAGATGAGAGAAAGATGAGGTGTGTGTGTGAGTGAGTGAGAGAGATGAGAGAAAGAGAGAAAGAAATGAGAGAAAGAGAGAGAGAGATGAGAGAGAGAAAGAGAGAGAGAGAGAGAGAAATGAGAGGTATGTATTGTGTGAGAGAGAGAGAAAGAGAGGTGTGTGAGATATATATGTTTGTTTTCTTAAGTTTTCGCGGGTATCTATATGTATGGTATTCAGCTTTGTTTGGGTATTTTCCCACGTCATTATAGTTCTGCTTGCTAAAGTTGTAGCAACGTTTCGGCAGAATCTCATCTGCCATCATCAAGCTTCTGTATTGTGTTCGTCTGTGAGTCAGACTTTCACAGCCATTTCTGTTTTAAATTTGGTGCTACCCTACTGCTGTGCCAGGATGTTTTTTTCTTCATCCTGATTGACTGGTCTTGATCTGTGTTTATTGGTCTTGGAGTTTGCTGTGTTCTGCTTGATTGGTGTTTCTAATATCTTCTGTCTGTTTTGTAGCTTTTCTTTGTCTTGATTGGCTGGCAACATTGTATTTCCTGTATTGGAGGCTTTTAGTGCGGCTTGGCTCTGAGTAAATGGACGGCTATCATTTATTAGGAAGCTAGGTTTCATCTGGGTGCCTGGTTGGGGTGTGTTTGAGCTGGAGGTATCAGGGGGTTCTGTTTGTGCCCAAGTGTTTACCTGGCTTGTGGTGTGGGGATTTTTTTTTTGTTTGTGAGTGTGGGCTTCCAGATAATTGACAGTCTGGTGGAGTCATTTATTCTATTCATGCTTTCAGGTCTTTTTTCAATCTCTATGGCTTCTCTGATAATTCTGTAGCTGGGGTTTTCTATAGTGGCTAGGGTTTTGGTGCCATTGAAGTCGATGCTATGACCTGTTGCTCGTGAGGAAGTGTGTTCCAGCTTTTTTACTGCATTTTTGTGTTCATCCAGGCGGGTACTTATTCTTCTATTGGTCCGTCCAATGTATGTGGCAGGGCATGATGCACAGGGGACTTCATATCGGCCTTGGTTTTCCAGGTAAATTTTATCTTTGGGGTTTCTTAGGATGGCTGCTATTTTTCTGTCTGTTTTGAAGACAGTCTTGATGTGATGCCTGTGCAGTATCTTACTAATTTTGTCTGTAGTACCTCTTATATAGGGCAGGACAGCTGTTCCATAGGTCTGATCATCTTCTGGGTCTCTATTATGTCTCAGTGTGTTTTTGTGGATCAGGCCAGTAATTTTGCTTTTGTGGAAGTCGTTAGCTGTCAGTACTTTAGTCAGGGTGCATAGTTCAGTCTTTATGTGTGTCTTGTCTGCCAGGCATTTGGTTCTGGTGATTAGTGTTTTGGCCACAGAGTTTATCTGTGCTGGGTGGTGGTGGGATTGGGCATTGAGGTAGCGGTTGGTGTGTGTTTTCTTCT